CCTGCAAACCACTAAGTCCAAAAGTTGGGGTGGGGGGAGCAAAACTGAAGTCACAGGACACCTGAAGAAGATCTCATCTTTGATGTCAGCTTCAGTTCTTTTTCCCAGAAGGCGTAAGCAGTGACTCCATATGGAAGGCTTCTCGCTTCCAGCCCTTGAATGTGAAGTGTCATTGGCATGTCTGGCAGTAGTCTCTCATTCACTCCTTAATAAACAGCATTGAAATACAAAAGAGGCTTGTGTAAAAATTCAGTACTGTCTGGCTTTTATTCATTTAATGTTTTGAAATATATAAGATTAATCTAATATTTTTTTAAAGTAATAGCTATGGCTCTGAATATTTTTCCCTACTATTTTTCTTGTGCAATTCACAGTTGGAAGCATTTTGTTAATGGTCTTCCACTTCGGATAAGTTATAATAATACACCTCTTCATCCACAGTTGATGTCCTTTTAAGGTTTGCAGATTTTAGCAAACTGTTTTTTAAGCTAGGAATGTTCTGATGAAATCAAAGGTTTGCCTTCGTGTTCTCATTGCAAATTGTAATTGCTATAGAACCACACAAAACTTTCCATCTTTTACCTTTCGAGTAAGTATTATGGCTAAAATGATTTACTGATAAACTCAGCAAGCTGTGTGAATGTTTTTTCTTTGTGTATTAACCTCATAGCAGTAAATGACTTGCTGTTGTTGCTTTAATTTTCTAAGGGATCTTAATAGATTTCTGTTGAAAACTTCAGTGTTAACATTTTTATAGTTTGTACTAAATTTAATCATGATATAAAAATGAATTTTATGCTTAGACCAGAATTTAAAATTAAAAGGCTTTTTCTTTAAATGATTTGCATTACTTTGTTATAACTAAATCTGAAATAGAATGGATCTATATTAAAATGTTCATTAATGTCATTCATACATATCGGCACTTTTGAGCGCAGCACCATTACTTAGAACTTTCTGTACCTGTCAAGAAAATACTGACTTTGCATCTTTGTTGCTTTCAGATTGGGGACTCCTTTGATTTTTTAGTTTGTATGTGATGATAATAATACTACTTTATAAATACCCTGCTTTCAGTTGGGAGGGAAAAAAATGGGAAGTAGAGTAAAAATACTTCAAAACAACCAATTCAGGTACTGACGCTAACCAGTTGGACGGCTTGGCTTTGTTCTTCGATGCCGCTGCTGCATTTCAAGCCTGAAATGCTCACTTTGCTGAGCTCAGGCAGCAGTGTGGCTAGAGGAGGACAACAGAAGCGCTTTGCTAAGAACTCAGCTGGTCTGGAATCTTCCAGTTTAAGTCAGAAAATGTATCTGTTTTCTAGGAATCCCTGAAGGAAGTGCATCTTTGGGTGCAAAGAAAGTGCAGGTTGACTAATGGATCATTGAAATGGAATAAAGTTAACCAAAGGGTGGAATTAAGAGCAGTTGAACCATCCTGGGATTCAGGGCTCAGAGCTGATGAGTTATTCCATGACTTCAACAATTAGAAAACAGTTCAGCCCAGTTGCTTATTGGCTACAGTGTTCTGTGATAGAACAGAACTGTATGTTAGGCTATAAATTGTGCCATTACATGTCTGGCAGCAGTTACATACAAAAGACATGAAATGTACATGCTAGAAGCTGCACAGTCTGTCCTATCTTTTCAGAATCTTGTAAAACCATAGAGGATCATGGACCATGTGTGGTGATGATGTACTACTTTACATATAGCCCACGTATGTACATAACTGTCCAGAGGCCCTGGTGGCTTATGGGAAGGAATTGCTCACAGCATGGAAATGTGTGTGCTTCAAATCCACAAGTTGCTCTGCAGAAGGGTGAGCAGTCGATCCCAGTGGTTCTGTAAACCTTCTGGAGGGAGCACAGTATCATTACCCAAACAGGCAATATGCATCATGTAAAATTTAAATGAATGTGAAGATTAGTGGCTTTTTCTTTGATTTATACTAAATTTAGGAACCTTGCATAGCAGTCTTCAGGAAAAGTTGGGGTGATTTTCCTATTTTACAAATGTCAGCTTTTCGTATCTTAGGAGTTTTGTGAGTTGTTCATGGGGTTTATTTAAATACTGTGTTTTAAGTGAAATTTAACACAGTGAATTAAGTTCCCATCAGAGAATTTTTATACAAATTGCTCCATTAAGGCTACTTTTTTTTCTCTCTCTCTCTCTTAAATGTACCACTGTTCAGTTTGGGGGGATTTTTTTCACTCATGTTAATTGCATTCTTGTTCCATTTCCAAAACTCCAGTTTCCCTGCCTGTTTGATCTTTATTGTAACACCTTTGTTAACCTTTTGGTCTTAGTGTTTAGTGGAGCACTGTGCTCAGATAATATACCATGTAGTGTGTCTGGTGCCTTTTGAGTTAATTCCAATTCATAGTGACCCTATAACTCGACAGAACGAAACATTCCTGTGTCCTGCACACTCGCACAGTCATTGCTATGTTGAGTCCATGATAACCACTTTATGTTGAAATGTAATACTGTAGGCTCTGTCCTTGATCTTCATCAGTTTCTACTTCAAGTCTTCCCGGTTTGAATCCTCTGCGTGTCTCAAGTTGGCAGTAGGCCTTCTGGTCCTGACATCACTTTCTTCAGAAAGTCAGGCTTCTCAGGTTATTTGCTAAGCATACATGTTGGATAGGTATGGGGAAAGGATACGACTCTTGTGCACACCTTTCCTAATGTTAAGCCATGAACTAGTTCTGCTCTTTGACTAATTGCCTCTGCTTCTAGATAGTCTGCCTCAGCACAATGAAGGGTCCTGGAATTTGGATTTATAATTTGTTAGGATACAGTAAAATGTCTTACACATCGCTCTGGTGGCTTAGGGTGAGAAGTGCTGCTAATCCAAAGTCATTTGATCTCAGGACAAATTTTTTTGAGAGGCTTGAATTAAACATTAGAATCCATTTTTATTGAAGTAAAGCTATTAGGTGCCATCAAGTATGACTCATAGTGACCCTATGAACAAAAGATCTGAAACCAGTCCTGTCCTGCACCTTCCTAACACTTCTGTTACACAAGAGCCCATTGCAGCAGTCACCTTGTCAGTCCACCTAGTTGAGGGTTTTCCTCTCCTTCACCGACCCTCTATCCTTCCCAACATCGTGTCCCTCTCTAAGGAATAGCACTTCCTAGCAATATGCCCAAAGTATGTTATTTGAAACCTCATCCTTCGAAAGGGCACTCTGGCTGCACCCTCTCCAAGAATTGTATTCATTTTCTTGGCCATTCATGGCATGTTCAGTGCTCTTCAACACCACAGCTCAAAGGCATCAAGTCTTTCTCTGTCCTTATTGATTGTCCAGGTAATCGGGAAAACCATGGACTAAATCAGACACACCTTAGTCCTCATACTGACATCAATAATTTGGAAAGTTCGTGCCCACCCAGGGACGCCAAAAAAAAAATAATTTGGAAAGGTCCCTAACTGCAGATTCACCCATTGCAATGTGTCTCCTTATTTCCTGCTCCAGGGGTCCAAGCAAGATAAAGTTTTTTACAGTTTCAGTCTTCTCTCCATTATGACATTACCCATTGGTCCAGTGATGTGAATCTGTTTTGTTGATACTGAGACGCAATCCATACTGAAGGCTGCATTCCTTCATCTTCTGCACCAAGTGCTTCAGATCCTCACATTCAGCAAACAAGGTTGTGTCATCTACATAACACAGGTTATTGATGAGTCTCCAATCCTGATGCCAGTTTCCTCTTCAGAGTCCAGTTTCTCGGGTTATTTGCTCAGCATATAGATTGAACAAGTATGGAGACAGTACATTCCTGATGCACTCCCTTCCCAATTCCAAAACATGCAGTGCTCCCCAGCTTCATTCGCACCACAACCTCCTGGTCCAGGTATAGGTTTCTCATGAACACAATCAGGTGCTCTGGGACTCCCCACTTGTGATCCACACAGTCAAATGCCTTTGCATAGACAAGAAAGCACAAAAACACATTCTTTGGGTATTCCTTATTTTCATCCAGGATCCACCTAACATCAGCAGTAATGGCCTTGGTGCCACACCCTCTTCTAAATCCGTGAAGAAAACGGT